AAAAGTTCTTATGCTCCCAACTAAGTGATTATATAGAGGGTTGACTGTAATAAAATTTCACAAGGAACATTTTTAATTAGGCCGTAGAAGGTGGTTTCTTAATTTATTTGTAAAAAATGGTTTCGTTTGTTTACGTTACACCTGATCTTGAAATTTGATTGGCCAAAAATCACGAGAGGGGAGTGCGCTACCTAAAATGGGTGCGCTAAGGGGGTTATATGGAATACGGTAACGTAACAGTTAAGTATATATCAAATTATTACACGTTGACTTAAATTTAATATGGCGCAATAGTCATGTGAGCGTGACCTTTGAGGTTTTCTTACTTGTCAGTCATGCCTAAGCTAACTTTTCTAAATAAGAAGGTTGTGTTACCATTACTGGTACAAATAGGTAAATACCATGTGATCATGAATTTCGGTATAATTTGGGGACTAGTTTTAGAACCTAAAAATTATCCGTTTACTCGATGTATCTTTGAAAATAACGATAATGTATAATATTGCGTGAGTTTCTATGAAATTAATCAAGGAATAAATTTATAAAATACATTAATAAATATTTTTCTTACAAAAAGAATGGTATCGGACTTCTTCTATCCAAACATGGGTGGAGTAGAGAGTCACTTATACCAATTATCACTTATGTTAACCCAGCGTGGACATAAGGTGCGATACTTATGATAAAAATTACATTTCCTATTCGAAACTCGAATTCTATTAACAATTATTTCTTTTAGGTCATAATAATTACCCACTCTTACGGAAACCGTACTGGCGTCCGTTATCTAACCAACGGTTTAAAGGTATATTATGTACCACATATGGTTATCTATTCAGAAGCAACATTACCAACAATATATGGATTCTTTCCAATCTTTCGAAATATTGTTCTTCGTGAAAGAATTAATATTGTTCACGGTCATCAAGCGTTTTCATCGTTATGTCACGAAGCAATATTACATGCTCGTACAATGGGAATGAGAGCTTGTTTTACTGATCATAGTTTATTTGGATTTGCGGATGCGAGTAGTATTCTGATGAATAAAGTGTTGAAATTTACCCTTAGTGATATTGATCATGTTATTTGTGTTAGTAATACAAGGTTTGTGAATAATGACTTTTCCAAGGCATATATATATTTTTTAATTCACGTTATTTATTTAACAACATTAATTGGATTTAAAACAGTAAGGAAAATACGGTTTTAAGAGCAGCTTTGACTCCTCAAATGGTATCAGTCATCCCTAATGCTGTGGTTGCATCACAATTTAAGCCGGATCCCAGTGCACAAGATAAAAATTTTAGTTCAGTATTTTCTTTTAAATAACCGTTTCTTATTACTCACTATTAAAATTACATTACTTAATAATTGCATATATTTTTCTTAACATAATTATTTAAGTCACCATAGTTGTAGCAAGTCGACTAGTATATAGAAAAGGTATGGACTTACTTGTCGCTGTTATACCTAGAATATGTAAAGCAGATCCTAAAGTACGGTTCATAATTGGTAAAGCTAAAATCTTTTTACTGTTGTGAAATTCATTCTTTTGAATATTTTACTGAAAATAAATCTTATAAAGGTGGTGATGGACCAAAAAGAATCGATTTAGAACAAATGAGAGAAAAAAATTTGCTTCATGATCGTGTTGAATTTCTTGGTCCAGTTATGCATCACGAAGTACATAATGTAAGAAAAAAAAAAAGATGCATATTTTATTTAATTCTCTTTCGACCTATGTGCATAAAATAGCTTACAATTATATTTTATTTTTTGGTTTGTTTTTTCAGGTTTTGACAAAGGGGCACATTTTTTTGAATACCAGCTTAACAGAAGCATTTTGTATTGGTATGGTTGAAGCAGCTTGCTGTGGGTATGTTATAAAATATAATTTTATGTAAATTCAAATAATACTTAATGTAATAATTTATTAAGAAAAAATTTTCGGTACATCAAAGGTTACTTGTTGTGAGTACAAAAGTTGGTGGTGTGCCAGAAGTTCTTCCTAGACATATGATTATTTTTTCCAAGCCTGAAGAAGAAGGTACTCATTTATAAGCTATTGGAAAAATTATATACAAAATAATTGGTAAATATAAGACAAAATAGACTATAGTTTTTATAACTATTTCTTCTGGTATTACAACAGATCTTGTTAATGCAGTGTCAAAAGCTATCAAAATGATTAGACTTAAAGAGGTCGTACCAACCAAATTTCATGATGAAATTAAAGAAATGTATAGTTGGAGTAATGTCGCTGAACGAACAGAAAAGGTAAATTACTTTAAAATGTACGATGCACCACCATATAAATCAACAATAAATAAAGTTATTAATTATTAACTTTCATTATCCGAAAAGGTTTATGACAAAATATGGAAATTGAAAATACCACCTTTGATGGAAAGATTAAGAAGGTATCACATATACATAATTTGTTATCTTAATAAAGTTTTTAGCTGTATTTTATTTATTAATAATTGATCATATTTAAACTGCATTATATAAATTTTAATTTTTTCTAAAGATATTATGGATGTGGTATATGGGCTGGAAAAATATTCTGTGTAGTGATGGCTATTGATTATTTATTTTGGAGATTTTTAGAATGGTTGTTTCCTGCAGATGAAATTGATATTGCACCCGCATTTCCATATCAAAAATATAGAAAGGTAATAATATGGTGATTGAAGTGTTTTTTTTTGTTATGTTTTTAATTTATAAGATGGTAATCATCATTGTTTTATATTGTTAAAAGATATGTCAAATTGCCGATAAAAATGAAGACTCGTAAATTTCGAAATTTTATATTTATAGCGAGTTAGCAGAATACAAATTACTAGATTTTTATACAAATTATTATTTATTTTTTTTTTTAAAAAAACTAATATCTATATTTCTAATATTCAAAAGAGATTATTATTAACATATTGATGGCAAAAACGAGCTTTTTAATAAAATTCGCTTGATAATTTGAAGTTACCCGTATAAAATGGGTAGAGAATACAAAAATACTACCAGACAACTCAGGATTGTCGGACTGATATTTTTATACTGTAAATGCACTATATTCAGCAACAATTTAGTCAAGCTATCTTTATTCATGAACATTTTAAAAAGTTCTGTCTTTGATTCATTAAAATTGTTTAAACCATGTTTACATTATTCGTTATTTAATAAAAATTATCATAAAGACTTTAGTTTTCGCAGAAAAATAATATATATATCATGAAAACATAAAGAATAAAAAGCCTTAATTATCTGTTATGATATTTATGCAGTTATGTTAATACTACACAATTGACCAATTAAGATATAGGATTTAGGCATGTCCTACAAAATTTCTTTGTATAACAAAACAATTTCTTTTTTTTTTAGTGTGAAAAAATTGGCCATAACTTAAGAAACTGCCTTTGATATTTTAAGAAAATTCCTTTCTTCATTTTACTATATAAAATATTAAATTTTGGTCCCTATTAACCTCTATAATAAATACAAAATTATACAGTACGTATAACTTTTAGAAATAATAAGTATTAACATTACTCAGTAATAATTTCTTCGCCAAACTCAGCGCGCAGTACCACAATAACCAGGAACAATCAAGCACGTGATAGCGTCAAATATACAATATAAAAAGTGATATAATTAGTAATTTTGTAATTTCAATTCTTCACTTGACAAAAATGTCTTCTACAGCCACATTGAGTAGTTCTTCTTCAGTTGTAATTGAGCCTAATGCTAGTGAGTTCGACGCGGAAGAAGAGGTTGAGGAAGTTGAAAAACAAGTAATTTCCAAACGTGTTTTTTGTGTCTTTTGCCATTTTTATTCTGTTTCAATTTTCATTATATTGACTTAAATTACGCGTCAGCTCGCAAACATTAATAGGGATGCTGTTCTTTTTGTTATCGATTGTTCACCATCAATGTTGAGTGACGAAGATTCACCATTTAAATCCGCTATTCGATGTGCATCTACTGTAATGATGAATAAAATTATTACTAGCAATGACACGGATCTTATGGGTGTAATGCTATTTGGAACGGTAATCATATATTACTTTCTAAATGATTATTTTCTATATCCAAAGGTTTTTATTATGCATCAATACTTGATAGGAAAAATCACAAAATGCACTTGAGAAAAAGCACATTTATGTGCTTCAGCCCATTGATTTACCAGATATTCACAGAATTATAGAATTAAATGATATAGCATCAGGTAAGTCTTGTAATTTATTATTGCTCTTACCATATTACTATTAATTATTATTCGTAAAAACCAGGGCAAATTGATTTTAGTCAAGAGTACGGAAATGCAAATGAAGAAGTCCCATTAGGAGATGTCTTTTGGGCTTGCAATGATTTATTCAATTCATTGTCCGTCCATTTTCTTATTATAAATACGACTCTTTTCAATATTCTTTCTGCATATAGTTAACTCTTTTTTTTAATTTTACCAGATCTTCTTCAACAATTAAGATTAAGAGAATATTTCTCATCACTGATGAAGATAACCCACATGCAACAAACCCAGTTCTTCGTAGTACATCAATAACTCGTGCCAAGGTTTATTTTAATCATGTTTTGGAGTGAAATTATAGCCCTTGATCTAACACTTATCATCACATTCTTTAAAGGATCTTATTGAATCAAAAATTGAAATAAATCTTTTCAGCGTTAATAAATCAGATGATAAAGAATTCAACTTTGATACTTTTTATTCGGTTTGCTCATGAATAAATTTTTAATCTTTTTTTTTTTTTTTTAATTTATTTTTGCTTGATATTTATTGTATTTAATTTTTATTACTTATATAGAAAATTATTTCCAGAGATGATTTTGGAGACAATCTTCACTTTAATACAACTAAAGACTTTAATGTTCTTTTGACCCAAATTATGAATAAAGAATCCCCAAGGAGATCTTTATTTTCTCTGCCATTTCGCTTATTTGAAGGTGAAGGTCTAACAATCGGAATCAAAGGGTAAATAAATATTAATGTCATCATAATTTATTTTATATCATACATTTTATAAATCTTTTTTATACTATATAGCTTTTCGGCGATAGTTGAAAGGTTGAAACCTCAACATAAATTAGTTCATATGAGAGCTGAGACGACACGTCTTGTTGAAACAAAGACAAAATGGATTTGCGCGGTAATAAGATTTGAGTTTTTTAAAATATTTATAAATATTTAATTGATAATATTTAATTAATATTGTTTTTATTATCTTATTGTCTTAGGACACTGCCCAAGAATTGATGCCTGAAGATATGAAACTATTTTTTTCATATGGTGGCGAAAAGGTTTGTACATATAAATTATACTTTTATATATAACATAAACTTTATAAAATTCAAAAATTATTTAACCACTTTCGATAAAGGTTGTCTTTACAAGAGAGGAAATAGCAAAAATTCGAGATTTCGGTGAAAAAGGTAATTATGTCAAATAAGACATTAAACTTTATTTTGATAACTATAATTCCTCTATGTCATATAGGTTTAACACTTATTGGATTTAAACCTGCAAGTGCACTTAAATATCATTACAATATTTCACACCCATATTTCATATATCCTGATGAAGAAGTGAGCATTGGATCTTATAATATAATTATTGAAGTCATCATTATTCTAATTACCTCTTGAATGATGTCAGCAATATGAAGGTAGTAGAAGAACATTTGCAGCTTTACATAAAAAGATGATCGAAAAAGATAAAATCGCCATATGTGCTGCAAAAATTCGTAATGGAACTCCTTTTACATTTGTTGCTCTAAAGGCTCAAGTACTATAATTAAATATTTTAAAATCTAGTTTTACGATTTAAAATTTTTGACTAAATAATCATAATTTCAGCCTGAACTTCTCGATGAAAATGGTCTGCAAATCCAACCTCCGGGTATGAATATGATTAGTCTTCCATTTGCAGATGATATGCGACCTCTTCCACCTCAAGCTGAAATAAGATCCGTTGGTAATTATTCATAAATTATTATGCTATTTTATATTTATTAAGAAAATTAAAATTTTATCCTATTTACTATTTTTTATCAAATAGTTCCTGATACAATGGTTGATTTTGTTAAACCGATAATTTCAAGCCTTCAAATGAAGGGTGGCTACAACCCAAGCCAATTCCCA